TGAAACACAACAAGGGACAACAAACACTCTCAAGTGAGCACACAAGCCACAGAAACGTCTTTCTGCACGGCTTGTGGCATCAGCAAGAGATGGCATAAACTCGTTGCAAGAAAAGTTTCTTCTCGAATGCGTCCCCTGGAAGGAACAAATACTGAACAAGTCGCCATCGCAAGGAAGTCGCGACTATCCTGCGTGGCTTGATATTTGTGGCTGGAGCCAGACAGGAGTGACAGTAATACAGTGCCCTGGAGACCGCACGCTACGTTAATAATTAATTCACGGATCTAAAGGAACTGTAATCTGAACTTCACCTTCGAGAACTTTAACAAATCTCAGATACAAGCAGTGAGAAAACAAACACATTGCTCAAGGCTAGGTTTGTCTTTCAGCAGTCAGTACGGGAATGGTTTGGTAACTGTGGACGATATCATAATGACATAGACTGGCAGATACACTAAAGTGAACATTTCAAAAGTGACTGGGACATGATCCATGTGAACTTATCAAGGGCATAATGGCAAAAAAAATTAGAGAACTAACACAGTAAGCTTATTGGAAAGAAATGCTTAACAATTCTGCAGAATAATTTTCAAAATACAACTGCAAGAGAGAAAGAAAACTCAATTTAAAGGACTATTGACCAAGAAAAAAAAAAAATTTACATTGAAATATCCAAGTAAAAATATTACATGGAGACTGAATTACATGCAAAATGAAGCTGTCTTTACTCTTGCAAATAAAAGAAATTAATTAATTCAAAATTTAAATCAATGGAGAAATGTAAAATAAATTTATTAAATTGTAAACTGGGAAATTTTTTACAATTTTCAAAGAATGCATAAGCCAAAATCAAAATTATAAATCATAAAAATAGCAATAAAAGAAAATAATTCACTGCAGAACAGTTCAACAAAATAATTCACTTCAGAACAAGTGCAACAAAATAAGGTGTAGAAACAATCACTGCAGTAATAAAGTGTCACTGGGAAAACTCAGGAAAATAATGTAAATTAAAATTAATGAATAACAAAAAAAAATAAACGGATTGAACACTTTAACTCTAAATAGTAAATTAGACAAAACAAATTTACTCCAAACAGAGTAAGGAAACCCTTTACTTAAAAGTAATTGAAATTACCAACAAGAGGTGAATTTGTTCCCAAGAATAAAAAATAAAAAATAAACACAGACCAAAACAGGGAATATAACAATTACAGTGACGGAGCTCACCAACAGTATTAATTTATTCTTACAACAAATTCGCGCTGTGACTGGATACAACAAAATCATGCTGTTGACTGATACTACAAAAATCTTATCTTGCTGTGAACCGATACGACACAATTTTGCTGGCAAAAAATAAATGGAACACAGTCTGGCGAAAAATTAAGGAAAGAGACACTGTTGGCATACGAAAAAAATGGACAGGCAAGAAATAAATGGAAAATTTGGTATACTGGGGTGAATAACACTGCATGAAATACAATTGATATACGGAGAACACACGATGAAAGAATCAAAAAAAAAAATGATCACTTCACACAGGGTGTGGACTGTACACTACACAATCATACATACTATAAGACAGAGTACATAAAGACAAACTCAGCAGAATAATATAAGATAAGTGAAACCACTGAAAAATAGTGTAAAAAAAAATACAGAGTCAAAGAATCTGCGTTTACACTGAAAAAACAACAAGGGTTAGAAGTACACAAACAATTTACATAAAATGTCTCACACACCAGCAAATGTCCCCTGAATGCAAGAAAAATTGTCTCACTAGAAAATTATCACTGAAGTCGGGAGTAAGAGACGTGGGGGCGGTGGGTGCGGTGATGTGGGCGAAGATATTGTCCCTGTGGGCGGGCGGTGCTTCGCTCCCCTCTAACCACTCGCACTGTTGTCGTGAAGAATGTGCTTTCTAGGCGAACTCACATAACTGGCTTATCTCGTTTGGCACCAGCTACAATCTCTTGACCAATTAGTGAGCCAAAACAGTACTAGGTACCCGGTACAAAGGGTGCAAACAACCACAGGTAGATGAGTGATGGCTGTAGGGATGATGGGTGGGTGTGACTCTCGCTGGGGTACTCCGCGCACCCCGGGTGTGTGGAGAGAGAGAGGTGGGGGGGACGCGGTTGTCTGCCGAGCACCCCACTCACCCACGAAGATGCTAAACAACCCACTCTATGGGTCCACAGGAATGGTCATAAAAAAAACCTCACTTAGCATCCAACAGGGAGCACAGCGATAATAAACAATACCTCACAGAGGAGCTTGGCTTACTTCTTACTACTGCGTGGCTTACTTCCTCTCTCATTCAGCTTAGGGTTGAAGCTGGGTTGCTGCTGGCTATAAATCCCCCACGAGAATGGATGACTGGAAAGACGTGTTAACAGTTGCACAAAGCACGGAGGAAGCAGTTGGAATGACAGGAGAGACAGGCCTGGATGATAGCTACTGGCTTTCTCATTCCCCAGTCTGGCTTACTGACTGGCTTAATTGGCAAAATCCGGGTCAACCCCCTCGGAAGATTGAAACAATTAGACACGAATCAGGCCAGGAAGCTTTGAAACGGCTGCAACAGGGCTTGCAGGCAGAAGCGGTTGGTGAAGGTATAACGGCTTGCTGGAGGGTATAGGAGGTTGGCTGGCGTCGAGGAGTGCGGGCGGGTATGGCTGACCCTTCCGGCTACTCACAACATCTTCAAACGCCTTGAATTAACAAATTACCCTTCAAAACGTAAATCCACGCATCCCAACAGACCGGCTGTATACAACCATTTATCATGTGGGAGTTCAGATACGTGGATTAGGGTAGAAATACCACGTAGGCTGTTATAGCGTATAATGCTGTTATGTGGAGATGACCCGAGCAGCCGACCTTTCTCCTTGCTGTCCTCTTCTAACACTGACTAGGGGCGGCAGGCCAGTACCCCCCCCGTAGGGGTCCTTTTGAATAGTTGTCAGACTCAGCAACAATATGAAAGACCGGACTCCAAGACGGTAGGTCGTTGAGTATCAACGGCCAGGTTACTGGTAACCTGTGGTATCCTACAACTGAGACTGGTAGACTGGATTTAACTACTGAACGGTAACTGAACTACTACTGAGACTTAGAACTTTCCCTCCACCTTTTTCCTAGGCCTGCCCCTACCCCACCTCCCTTCCACTACAGACTGATACACCTCTTGAGTTATATTCTGTTTCCCCATTCTCTCCACATGTCCCGAACCACCTTCAACAACCCTTCCTCAGCCCTCTGGGACAACAGTTTTGGTGGAATCCCGCACCTCCTCCCAACTTCCAAACATACGAATTCCCGCTGCTTTATATTCACACCACACAGTGCTCTCAGACATGACATCACCACTGCCTCCAGCCTTCTCCTCGCTGCAACATTCATCACCCATGCTTCACACCCATATAAGAGCGTTGGTTAAAACTATACTCTCATACATTCCCCTCTTTGCCTCCAAGGACAAAGTTCTTTGTCTCCAGAGACTCCTAAGTGCACCACTCACCCTTTTTCCCCTCATCAATTCTATGATTCACCTCATCTTTCATAGACCCATCCGCTGACACGTCCACTCCCAAATATCTGAATACATTCACCTCCTCCATACCTCTCCCTCCAATCTGATATCCAATCTTTCATCACCTAATCTTTTTGTTATCCTCATAACCTTACTCTTTCCTGTATTCACTTTCAATTTTCTTCTTTTGCACACCCTACCAAATTCATCCACCAATCTCTGCAACTTCTCTTCAGAATCTCCCAAGAGCACAGTGTCATCAGCAAAGAGCAACTGTAACAACTCCCACTTTATGTGTGATTCTTTATCTTTTAACTCCACGCCTCTTGCCAAGACCCTCGCATTTACTTCTCTTACAACCCCATCTATAAATATATTAAACAACCACGGTGACATCACACATCCTTGTCTAAGGCCTACTTTTACTGGGAAATAATTTCCCTTTCCTACATACTCTAATTTGAGCCTCACTATCCTCGTAAAAACTCTTCACTGCTTTCAGTAACCTACCTCCTACACCATACACTGCAACATCTGCCACATTGCCCCCCTATCCACCCTGTCATACGCCTTTTCCAAATCCATAAATGCCACAAAGGCCTCTTTAGGCCTTATCAAAATACTGTTCACTTATATGTTTCACTGTAAACACCTGGTCCACACACCCCCTACCTTTCCTAAAGCCTCCTTGTTCATCGCTATCCTATCTCCGTCTTACTCTTAATTCTTTCAATAATAACTCTACCATACACTTTGCCAGGTATGCTCAACAGACTTATCCCCCTATAATTTTTGCACTCTCTTTTATCCCCTTTGCCTTTATACAAAGGAACTATGCATGCTCTCTGCCAATCCCTAGGTACCTTACCCTCTTCCATACATTTATTAAATAATTGCACCAAACCCAAACTCCAAAACTATATCCCCACCTGCTTTTAACATTTCTATCTTTATCCCATCAATCCCGGCTGCCTTACCCCCTTTCATTTTACCTACTGCCTCACGAACTTCCCCCACACTCACAACTGGCTCTTCCTCACTCCTACAAGATGTTATTCCTCCTTGTCCTATACACGAAATCACAGCTTCCCTATCTTCATCAACATTTAACAATTCCTCAAAATATTCCCTCCATCTTCCCAATACCTCTAACTCTCCATTTAATAACTCTCCTCTCCTATTTTTAACTGACATTTTATTATTTTTTTTTAAATTCTTTGACTATGAGCAAGTTTGAGAGCAGAGGAGCTGTATAATCCCTACATATTTAGCGCTTCCCCTTAATAATAATAATAATTAGAGCAGGGGTCCCGACCCTGAAATAGTTAACAAGTCATACAGATATTGCAGGATGGGACCAGTTATGCCAACTGAGTCCCATTATGTTAAGAGGTGAGTGCTGTCTAAGACTGCCTTATTTTTTCTTAACTATGCTTCTCTCTCATGGAAAAATATATTTCAGGTTAAGAAAGCAGAAATGGAAGGGTCTCTCCACAAATTTCCTATTGATGGGCTACGCAAAATTATTATTGCCAGACATGGAGAAAGAGTTGATTTCACTTTTGGTGACTGGACCCGCTTCTGCTTTGATGAGACAGGTATGTTTTATTTATTTTCTCTAATCTGTTTTATACAGAGCACAAAAAATTGCTGGGCTATTTTAAAGACAATGTAGAGCAAGCCTTTATTTCAGATGATATTTCGCTCAGAGTGAAAAACTCCAAGCTTGAGTGAAATGGATTAAATATAAGCTTGATACAAGGAGGGAGGAGTATATGGAGAGAAAAAGAGAGGTTAAGAGAAAGTGGTGGTGGAATGTAAAAGAAAAGCAAATGAATGAGTGTGAGATGCTATCAACAAATTTTGTTGAGAATGATAATAAAGTTTTGGAGTGAGATTAATAAGCTGAGGAAAGCCTAGGGAGCAAATAGATAAGAACATAAGAACATAAGAACGAAGGAACACTGCAGAAGGCCTACTGGCCCATGTGAGGCAGGTCCAAGTCTCCTACCAGCTTAAGCCAATGCACCCAACCTAGTCAGGTCAGGTCACATTGACTTAAGGGAGGAACACGGCAACCGACCTGGTAGCACAAGCTATCAGGTCTAACTCACACCCACCCACATCTACTCATGTATTTATCCAACCTATTTTTAAAGCTACACAACGTTCTGGCCTCTATAACGGTACTTGGGAGTTTTTCCACTCATCCACAACTCTTATTACCAACCAGTACTTTCCTATATCCTTCCTGAATCTGAATTTTTCCAACTTAAAACCATTGCTGCGAGTCCTGTCTAGGCTAGATATTTTCAGCACACTATTTACATCCCTTTATTTATTCCTGTCTTCCATTTATACACCTCAATCATATCCCCCCTAATTCTACGTCTTTCTAGAGAGTGCAGTTTCAGAGCCCTTAGTCTATCCTCATAGGGAAGGTTTCTGATACATGGGATCAACTTTGTCATCCTCCTTTGTACATTTTCCAGAGAATTTATATCCATTCTGTAATACGGTGACCAAAACTGTGCAGCATAATCTAAATGAGGCCTAACCAAGGATGTATAGAGTTGAAGAACAACCTGAGGACTCCTATTATTTATGCTTCTTGATATGAAGCCAAGGATTCTATTAGCTTTATTGCGAACACTTATGCACTGTTGTCTTGGTTTCAGATTACTGCTAACCAGAACTCCTAAATATTAAGATCTGACAGTTAAAAATAGGATAAGAGAGTTATTGGACGGAGAGTCATAAGTATAGGGAAGATGGAGGTAATACAGCCTCTCCTCGCTTAGCGACATACTTATTTACTGACGACTCGGACTCACGACGGGCTCTCTGACCAGTATGCATACCTAAATAATGTATATTACAGCTGATTTTCTCTATTCTGTTTATTACAGTTTACAGTACACTACTGTATAAACATTTAACCCTTTGACTGTTTACGCCATATATATACGTCTTACGCGCCACTGTTTCTGACGTATTAATACGCGTAAATTCTAGCGGCTTCATATCTAGTGGGAGAAAGCTGGTAGGCCCACATGTGAGAGAATGGGTCTGTGTGGTCAGTGTGCACCACACAAAAAAAATCCTGCAGCACGCAGTGCATAATGAGAAAAAAAAAAACTGACCGTTTTTTTGGATTAAAACGCGTACTTTGAGGTGTATTTTTGTATAATATTTATAGTTGTATTCTCGTTTTCATGGTCTCAAGTGATAAAATGGAAAATATATTACAGAAATAGAGATGATTTTGATTACTTTCACAATAAAAACGACCTTGAAATTGAGCTCAAAGTAGTGGAAATGTTCGATTTTTACCCATGTTCAGGAGTAAGCAAGTCACACCACACGTCCAATACACGTCAACTGGGGAGTCTAATATTCTTTGACTAGTGCACTTATATTATTTATACCATTTTTACAATAATGCAGTAATCTGCATACCAGTAAATTTTGTATTTTTTTGTATGAATAAAAAATCAAAATAGAAAGCAATAGTAATATAAGAGGGGCCTAGAGATGTGACTAATTAACAGAGGATATGTTATTTTAGTGCCAAGAATGTCTATATTGTTTATTCTGGACCCTATTTTGAAATTGGCATCTTTTTTAATTTGTGTGAAATTGGCCAAATTGCCAATTTCTGACCACTTTATTGGGTAGTTCAAATCGGTAAATGGGCGGTTTCTTGTACTCAACTGATAGGTAAAATGGAGTTCTAAAGAAATAGCTTTGAGTTTGGTCGACTGGAACAACGGAATTGGTGATAAACAGGGCTCAAAGTCGGCGAAATCGCTGATACGTATATGTCGCTGAGACCGCTAACTTCACGGGAGCATAGTTCCGCGAGTTTTCGACCAAATGTCATACTTTTGGTGTCATTACCATCGGGAAAAGATTCTCCATTATTTCACGAGATTTTTTTTTTTTTTTTTTTTTTTTTTCCAAAAATTTATCGACAGTTTCAGAAAGGGGCCTGCGACAGTCAAAGGGTTAATAATGTACTAAAAATGTTATAAATGGTGCATAAGTGACATTAAAACAATACCAAGATGGGTGATGCAAACCCACTGCCAATATTGTATGCTCTTTACTTTGCAATGAATTCATTTACTGATGTGGTCTTAGGAACAGAACTCTGTTGTTAATTGAGGAGAGGCTGCATTTTGAGGAACTGTTAACCCTTTGAGGGTCCAAACCCCCAATCTGAAACTTGTCCACAGGGTCCAAGAATTTAAAAAAAAAATCTTAGGAAATGGTAGAGAATCTTTTTCTGAAGGTAATAAAACAAAAAGTATAAATTTTTTAGGAAAATTGATGAAATTACGCTATTGCAAATTTTGCTGTGTCGGCAATATTTACGCATCTTTGATTTTTGACTACTGATTTTAGGCAAATTACATTTTACCAGTCTACCAGATTCTTAGTTATTTTGCCAGTATGCCTTCCATTTTAGCGATTGAGGACAAGAAACCACCTGATCAACTATGTCAACTACCTAATAAAGTGATTGGTAATTTGTCCAGTTTCACACAAATTTCAAAATAGGGTCCAGAAAAAGCAATGGAAGCATTCCTGGCACTAAAATAACATTTTCTCTCTTCATTAATAACATTTCCAGGCTTTACACATGAATTCTACTTTGATTTCGTATTCATACAAAGAATTTTTATTCACACACAAAAAAATAGAAGATTTGCTCCTATGCAATATTGTAATTGAATAAATAATAACAACAGTGACTTCTTGAAGGCATATTAGACCCACGAGTTGATGTGTATTGGACGTGTGATGTGATTCGTTTGCTTTTGAACACGCGCAATAATCAAAAATTTTTCCTACTTTGAGATCAGTTTCAAGCTACATATAATCCTAAAACCAATCAAAATTTTCTTTATTTCTGTAGTATAGTGAACCCTCGACTTACGAAAGTCTCATCTAATGATAAAATCGACTTACGAAGCGTTTCAGCGTAAAAAATTTCCCACGACGTACGAACAAAAACTCGACTTACATCATTCGTCCCAAACGCGTCCACGTGTCCCTCTGGCCTGAGTGCACCTTGGCTGCCCTGCCTTCAGTTAGTGTGCCAATGTTTACAAGCCAGTGCAGTCATTTCCACGCATACATTCGGTACATTTTGTATTTCAGTGTTTTTAGTGCTTGTAACTGCTAAATAAACAGGTAGTAGGTTGGTAGACAGCAACCGCCCAGGGAGGTACTACCGTCCTGCCAAGTGAGTGTAAAACGAAAGCCTGTAATTGATTTACGTGATGGTAGGATTGCTGGTGTCCTTTTTTCTGTCTCATAAACATGCAAGATATCAGATACATCTTGCTACTTCTACTTACACTTAGGTCACACTACACATACATGTTCAAGCATATATATACACACCCCTCTGGGTTTCCTTCTATTTTCTTTCTAGTTCCTGGTCTTGTTTATTTCCTCTTATCTCCATGGGGAAGTGGAATAGAATTCTTCCTCCGTAAGCCATGGGTGTCGTAAGAGGCGACTAAAATGCTGGGAGCAAGAGGCTAGTAACCCCTTCTCCTGTATATATTACTAAATGTAAAAGGAGAAACTTTGGTTTTCCTTTTGGGCCACCCTGCCTTGGTGGGATACGGCCGGTGTGTTGAAAGAAAGAAAGACAGAACTGCTAAATAAGCCACAATGGGCCCAAGGAAAGCTTCTATTGCCAACCCTGTAGTAAAAAGGGTGAAAATTACAATAGAAATAAATAAAGAGATAATCACAAAATATGAGAGTGGAGTACGTATATCCGAGCTGACCAGGTTGTACAACAAACCCCAATCAACCATCGTTACTATCTTGGCCAACAAAAAGGCAGTCAAGAAAGCTGTTGTTGCTAAAGGTGCAAGTATCTTTAAGAAACACCGATCACAAGTGCTTGAAGATGTTGAGTGACTGTTATTGGTGTGGATAAACGAAAAACAGATGTCAGGAGATAGCATCACTCAAGCGATCATACGTGAAAAGGCAAGGCAGTTGTATGACGATTTAATTAAAAAAATGCCTGCAACTAGTGGTGATGTGAGTGAATTTAAGGCCAGCAAAGGTGGGTTTGAGAGATTTAAGAATCGTAGTGGCAAACAGTGTGATAAGGCATGGTGAGGCTGCCAGTTCGGACAAAAAGGCGGCTGAAAAATATGTGCAGGAATTCCAGGGGTACATAGAGGCTGAAGGATTTCAACCCCAACAAGTGTTTAATTGTGATGAAACAGGCCTGTTTTGGAAGAAAAGGCCGAACAGGACCTATATTACACAGGAAGAAAAAGCACTCCCAGGACACAAGCCTATGAAGGACATTGTTACTTTAACCCTTTCAGGGTCCGTCCCATAGATCTACGGCTTTACGTTCAGGGTCCAAACCGTAGATCTACGCCAAAATTCTAACGGCGTCAAATTTAGTACGAGAAGGCTGGTAGGCCTACATCTGAGAGAATGGGTCTGGGTGGTCAGTGTGCACACTATAGAAAAAATCTGGATGCCCACATGGCATTGTGGGAACGCCGGCAAAGTAGCTTTGTTCATGGTGCCTGGCGGCAAGGAAGCTCTCACT